CAATTTTTTTCACAAAATAATCAGCTTACCAAAATTGAAGTTTGAACTATAAGCTTCTTTTGCAAATATGTCGCTTAGAAAGTAACAACTAAGCAATTATTTGTTTGATAATTTTTTACCTAAAAAAAGTCTCACACCATTGGCAAAGTTTGGTTAAACATTTGCAAAATGTAACTTTACCAAAATTGAAGTTTGAATTATAAGCTCTTTTTCACAAGTAACACATAATCTTTAGTCTTTGTTATGAAAAAATTAAAAAATAGAATGGTCGTTTGCATATTGTTGTCATGTTTTAGGATATCAAATAAGTACGAATGAATGAAACGCTAGTGATTTAGGTATTTTTAACAGCGATTGTTTACAAAAACAATTTGAACCTAAAAAGTGGAAAAACCAATTCGAAAATGATTCCCAAATTTTTTTTGTAATTTCTTTGCACAAAAGTGTTTCATTTTTCTGAAGTTTTTTATTGCCAGTGAAACGCTAACTTAAATTTCACAATTGAGTTTTTTTTTCAAGTACACTCCTTTTTAAGCCTACAAGACCAATTTTTTAACGAACATATTCGATTGCTTTATTTGCTTGAAATTAGACTAAAAATACTAAATTTCAGATTAGTGTTCACAAGAAACAAAGAAGAAACAACCCAAAGACAAATTTTCTCTCCACTTTCAGTCGTTAGAACAGCAAATATGAACAAAAAGGAAGGTTGATGAAGGCTTGTTTCTGAGTATCACGTATACAAAACGTTGAATTGGTCTTGAACAAGCGGTAAAATTTGGTCAATCATGATTACAAAACAAAAAAGGGATACCAATCATGGTAAAAATAGTCTAGAGAACAATTTTCGATCAGTTAGTTGTTTATCCCAAAATACCACATTATACAAAATCAAAAGATATTCACTAGGGTCACACCAATCTATAAATACTTCTTCTTCGTTTATCAAGTACCAAATTAAAATCGATACATCAAAATAGTAGGGGTACTTTATTTTCAGAGAGGATAATTATTTTTTGAGTTTCAAAATGAGTAGCCAACAGAAATATCATTTTTTCATTAGTTAGTTTTATTTATAGCTATTCAACACTTGTGTAATTCAGTGGACAAGTCTGAAAACAAGATGGAAAATAATTATTTTTTCTAATGCGTTCGTATTTTTCAAAAGCCAGTTTGGCACAATGAAAAAAAAGAGTGACTTCATCAAAAAGAAACCCAAGTTGAAAAATTTTACTGATACGTTCCGAACACGGGAGACCTAAAGAGGCGGTGTATTTTTGATTTTCTCTAGTTTGAAGAAATTTTAAATTTTGCTCATTCTCAATATCATGTTAATTACCCAAAATGAGAATCAGTCAACAACTATGAAATATACTTAAGTCAAAAACATTTTTCAAAGAACATCGCACCGCTAGATGAGCCAAACTGCACAGTTCATTACCTGGGTTAACATAGGGGGTGATCCAAGTAGTTAATTAGATCCAAAACTGCTAGAATAAAGCTGTTTCAAAGAAGAGTATGCAGTCAAAATATTGCCTATGAAACCATTTTTTCATTGTTTTTTTTTTCCGCAACGAATTGCTTTTTGCTAAGATCAATTTCATCGTGAAACCGTCAATAATCACTTAGGCACGGTATAAACTAAAAAGCAGAAAACAGAAAAAACGAGAGTCTAACGAGCAGTTCTGGGGAGCAGTTTCACTGAGAGAGAACATGTGATACAGGAGTAATGCCGAGTAATATTGGATACGAGATGTCTTCTTTTTCAATGAAAAGCTGCAATCTTCAAAGGAGGCCTCTATCAGAAACAAAAATCCAAGGGATGCATTAAATCAGGCAATCATCGATGGAAAAGAATGTTTTAATCACCTCAAACTCACAATTAGTTTTCACGAGTTGAAAGTGAGGAACCCACTTTTAAAGATACTTGTAGGAACAAAAACTCGTGGAATGTATTGTAGCTTGACTAACGATACGATGAATATTATTGGGAAATTTATTGTCGGAGTGAAATTCTTTGGTCGAGATCAAAATATTCTTGAACAGGACAATGATTCAGCTCAACGATAATGTGTCACTTCCAGTATCCTGTAAACCTAATCTACATGAAAAAGTAAAATTGAATCTGTACAAACATTTTCATGACCTCGTTACCAAAAATGCAAAAATGCCGTTAGATAGAAAAATCACTCATGCTTACACTCCATTTACAATGCAATGCAAACCAAACAAAGAAGGCTACCCTTACACTTGCTAGAAGTCGTAACATTTGGTGACATGAGAAGAAACGAGGCAGATGAAAAAAGCAGATCGATACTCTACTTGGCCCTAGGATGAAAAGTAATTTGTTTTCTCAGAAAAGTACCCGTGTGTGAAAATCTATCTGTCATTTCAAAAGTGACCGTCGAACTTCTAAATTCTGCACTTTTGAAACTGTCAAACATCATCTAAAAATGGTAAAAATTAATAAGCAGAAAACAGAATACCGAAAAAACGAAAGTCTTGCGATTAATTATGGGAAACATTTTCAGACTTAGTGAGAAAGAGTGAGAGAGGAGTACAATGATGCATTAAACAAGGCGAACATTGTTTAGGAAAAATGAGTTTTTTTTTCACCTCAAACTCATTAACATGTCAAACTCTGACAACCAAGAAATTGTGTGTCAGGGTTTTAACCTGTCAAAAAGGACTAATCTTGAATGTTAAAACCTAGCTCTTCTCTGTGCTAACCCGCTTACCAAGGGTCATATAAACATTTGCCCAACGAAGCGAATTGCATAGAGCATTTGTAAAAAAAGA